TCACCTAGATAGATCTTCTGTGATCGTAGGAAATTTTTTGAAATTACTGCCTTCCCTAACAAGGAACCCACTTGACTAATCTCTTCAAATGCATCAATCTCCTCTTGAAGCTTGTCCTTGCCTTTTAGTTTGTGGTAATTTTCCTTGCTAGACGCCATACTCTCTGAGGTGGTGAAACCAAGGCTATGATCACCAAGGCTATGATCACCAAAGCTATGGAAATCAAGGCAAATGGAACCAAATCTCTGATACCACTTGTAGGATCGAAAGTATGTCTAGAGGGGGTGATTAGACTACTTGACCAAATAAAAATCCAGCATTTTCCCAATTTTAAGTCTTGGCAGATTTTAGCAACTTATCACAAGTCAAGAAATCAACCTACACATGCAATTCTAAGAGTATAACAACGGAATGTAAATCATTGCATATGAAGGTAAAGGGGAGGAGTTTGGAGGGAGCAAACGCAATGTAGACACAGAGATTTTTGGCGTGGTTCCGACAGGTGGTGCTATCGTATATCCACGTTGATGGAGACTTCAACCCACGAAGGGTAATGGTTGCACGAGTCCACAGAGGGCTCCACCCACGAAGGGTCCACGAAGAAGCAACCTTGTCTATCCCACCATGGCCATCACCCACGAAGGACTTGCCTCACTTGGGTAGATCTTCACGAAGTAGGCGATCTCCTTGCCCTTACAAACTCCTTGGTTCAACTCCACAATTTGACGGAGGCTCCCAACTGACATCTAACCAATCTAGGAGACACCACTCTCCAAAAGCTAATAGATGGTGTGTTGATGATGAACTCCTTGCTCTTGTGCTTCAGATGATAGTCTCCCCAATACTCAACTCTCTCTCACAGATTTGGATATAGTGGAAAGATGATTTGAGTGGAAAGCAACGTGGGGAAGGCTAGAGATCAAGATTCTTGTGGTTGGATTGGAATATCTTGGTCTCAACACATGACTAGGTGGTTCTCTCTCGAAAAATGAGTAGTAGAAGTGTAGGCACATTCTGATAGCTCTCTCTCAAATGGAGAAGGGGGTGGAGGGGTATATATTGCCTCCACACAAAATCTAACCATTACACACAATTTACCAAACTCGGTGGGACCGAATAGTGAAACTCCGTCAGATCGATATGGTTCAAAATGTGAACGTTAGGCTTTTCGGTGGGACCGATAATGTCAACTTGGTGGGACCGATGCGCTAGGGTTAGGGCAAAACCTCATCTCAGTGAGACCGATCACATGAAGTCTGTGAGACCGATTTCAGTAATAAGCAAACAGAGACTTTGTCCAACAAACTCGGTGGGACCGATCGCTCATTTCGGTGAGATCGAAACATTATGAAAAGGAAACAGAGAGTTTGCACCGCAAACTTGATGGGACCAATCGCTCATCTCCGTTAGACCGAAACGTTACAAAGGGAAACAGAGAGTTTGCAATCCCATCTCAGTGAGACCGAGATCCCTATCGGTGAGACCGAACTGATTAGGGTTTCTAGCTATGGCTATGTCAGGTGAACTCGGTGGCGTTGGATAGATAAAATTGGTGGGGCCGAGTTTGACTTTTGGTTTAGGACATATGTGGAAAAGAGAAAGTGATTGAGGGATTTTGGAGCATATAACTAAGCATTTTGAGCAAGCAAGCCATTAAGCAACACCTCATCCCCTTTTAATAGTATTGGCTTCTCCTATGGACTCAGTGTGATCTTGGATCACTAAAATGAAAATGAAGAGTCTTGAGCTTTTGCCAATATGTGTCCTTAGCATTTTGAGGGGTCCACATCTCTAGTCCATGCCATACCAATCATTGAACTTTCTGAAACATTAATATTAGTTCTATGAGCTATATGTTGTTATGAATTACCAAAACCACCCGGGGATTAGTTGCACTTTCAGTGAGGCAGCTTGCAGTCTCTTGTCAAATGTCTGGTACCTTTGCATTTGTTACACATCATCCTGAAATTGCCCCCAGTCTTGTTCTGCTCATAGTTTTCTCTCTGTCCAGTTCTAGTATTCTGACCCCATCCATTTTGCCCTTGTTTATTGCCCATTCCTACCTCAACTTCTCCCCTCCTAGTGTAATCTTTCCCTTCCCCATAATCTCTTTTTTTTCTTTTCCAAGTCATTGTTTCTGCTGCTCCCTGGAAGAGCAGCCCCCCCACCTCCAGATGAGCTTTCCAATCCTTGTTGGTCCATCTGAGCTAAGAGTGCCCCAAACCATTGCTGATGTTGGATCTGTTCAAGAGGGGGGTAAGGGCCGTAGCAGTATCTTTAGCTTTGAGATGTTCGGTCGACTGCTCTTCCTCCATCTTACCAGCAAGAATTTCCTTACTCTCTATGGGGATCTTCATGTCTTCTCTTCTCCCTCCATCCATTTCCATCTGAAGATTGGAATTCCCAGGTTCCTCTCTGAACCCAAATCTTCCTCCGTTTCTGCCATTGTTTTGATACTTCTCTCTAGCTCCATCTTTTTCCTCTCATTTCTTTCTGTATTGGTAGTTGCCTCTCCCTCCCCTATTGAATCTCCATCCTCCCCTGAATCCACCCACACCTCTGCTCATCATCCCGGCCTCACTATGCTTGTTTGGTGGCGGAGGAGGAGGGAGAAACCCTAAACCCTTGAGGGGGTCGTACTCTCTCTCAAAGCAGAGGAGAGGCTCATTATTTATATGGGAAAATGTTTGGGAAAGCATATTTCTATATCCCGCCTCTCCTTTTTGACCTTTTGACCCCCATCAGACTTGATTATTGTCTTCCTACCCCAATCGGGGGGAGACATTGCTTTTTCATTGCCCATGTCATTAACATTAGAAACTAAACAACTATTTATATCCATATTTTCTAAATAAACTATCCGCATTAGACTAGAAATCTGGAATTTGCGCATAATTTCCTGAATTCATTTTATCTGCTATGTATTTGCTTCTTCTTATTTGGTCGTAATCAACCTTGCAGCTAGCACCTTCATAGAGGGTAGCGCAATCCTCCACAGCAAAAGCCCTGATAGGTTTTTTGGCAGAAACATTTCTAGCAATTTTCCTGATTTTATCCTCAATTAGTTCATCTTCCATACTATCTAAATTCTCCTTCTCGAAAACAGAGCCAAAACGAGCTCTGGTCACAGATTTTCCCCCATCTTCAGCAGCCAATCTCCGCTGTTTTTTCAAACTTGATTTTCTCGATGTTCCCATCAATTCAGAATCGATGAGATATTTATTCAAGGAGGGATTCATACCTTGCAGATCCAACGAGGGCCTAGTTTCCTCGTCGGAGTGCTCACCAGCGAGCAGCCAGAAACGACCACCCGTCGGTGAGGTTCCTATTCCCGTCCCTGGGAACGGGCGAGGCAGAGCAGGCGTAGCGAACGGTGAGGGAAGCGTGGCGATCTCCTTAGCACCAGTGGCATATTCGCCTTCTTCCTCTTCGAACCAGGCTTCGCTCCCCCCTTGGCCTTGCTGCTCTCTGGATCTGCCTGCACCTCCATCTTCTCCACAGGCACCGGTGCAGGGAGGCCCATCACCGCCCCAACGACGAACTCTGACCGACCTATCGGAGTGCTGCGGCGCGATCGGAACGCCCTCCACTTCATGGCCAGCCTGGGGTCGTCCGACGCCGCCTCCTCCATTGCCTAGAGCAGCATCCTGAGCGCGCCCACCGGTTCGCCCGACGGGGAGAGGCGTAGATCCTCCGCCTCCGTGAGCCTTCTAAACGCCGACCCCGCCGCCTCCTTCAGATCCCGCTCCTCTGCAAACCAGGAGATGATCTCCATCAGCTTTTCCATCTTCTCTTTGTCTCCATCGGCTATCTGCCTTGCCCTCGCCTCGAGCCTTGGCTTCCAGGACGCCAAGGATCTCCAGGGGCA